TTTCGTCCGAGGTCCGTCCGTCGTCCGTCCGTCCGTCGTCCGTCCGTAAACTTTTGCTTTAAATGACATCTCCTCATAAACCACTGAGCCAATTTCATCCAAACTTCACAGGAATGTTCCTTTGGTGGTCACCTTTAAAAATTGTTCAAAGAATTTAATTCCATGCAGAACTCTGGTTGCCATGGCAACCGAAAGAAAAATCTTTAAATATCTTCTTTTAAACAACCCTAAGAGCTAGAGCTTAGATATTTGGCATGAAACATCTTCTAACGAGTGTGTACCAAGTTTGTTCAAATTAAAGCCCTGGGGTCAAAATTGGCCCCGCCCCAGGGGGTCATTGATTTTCCCTATATGCATATAGTAAAATCTTAAAAAATCTTCTTTTAAAGAACTGTAAGAGCTAAAGCTTAGATATTGGGCATGAAACATCTTCTAGTGAATGTCTACCAAGTTTGTTCAAATAAAAGCCCTGGGGTCAAAATTGGCCCCGCCCCAGGGGGTCATTGATTTTCCCTATATGCATATAGTAAAAACTTAAAAAATCTTTTTTTAAAGAACCCAAAGAGCTAGAGCTAAGATATTTAGCATGAAACATCTTCTAATGAGTGTCTACCAAGTTTGTTCAAATAAAAGCCCTGGGGTCAAAATTGGCCCCGCCCCGGGGGGTCATTGATTTTCCCTATATGCATATAGTAAAAACTTTAAAAAATCTTCTTTTAAAGAACTGTAAGAGCTAGAGCTTAGATATTTGGCATGAAACATCTTCTAGTGAATGTCTACCAAGTTTGTTCAAATAAAAGCCCTGGGGTCAAAATTGGCCCCGCGCAAGGGGGTCATTGATTTTCCCTATATGCATATGGTAAAAACTTAAAAAATCTTCTTTTAAAGAACCCAAAGAGCTAGAGCTAAGATAGTTGGCATGAAACATGTTCTAGTGAGTGTCTACCAAAGTTGTTCAAATAAAAGCCCTGGGGTCAAAATTGGCCCCGCCCTGGGGGGTCATTGATTTTCCCTATATGCATATTGTAAAAATTTAAAAAAATCTTCTTTTAAAGAACTGTAAGAGCTAGAGGTAAGATATTTGGCATGAAACATCTTCTAGTGAATGTCTACCAAGTTTGTTCAAATTAAAGCCCTGGGGTCAAAATTGGCCCCGCCCCAGGGGGTCATTGATTTTCCCTATATGCATATAGTAAAAACTTAAAACATCTTCTTTTAAAGAACCCAAAGAGCTAGAGCTAAGATATTTAGCATGAAACATGTTCTAATGGGTGTCTACCAAGTATGTTTAAATTAAAGCCCTGGGGTCAAAACTGGCCCCGCCCCAGGTGTCATTGATTTTCCTTTTATGTGTTTAGCAAAAACTTAAAAAACTTCTTTGAAAAAAACCAAATAGCTAGAGTTTATATATTAAGCATGAAACATCTTTAAGTAAATATCTACAAAGTTTGTTCAAATAAAAGCCCGGGGGTCAAAACTGGCCCTGCCCCAGGGGTGTCATTGTTTTTAACTATATGTGTATAGTAAAGACCTTAAAAAATCTTCTTTTAAAAAACCCAATGAGCTAGAACTTACATGTTTAACATGAAACATCTTCTTATGGGTGTCTACCATGTCTGTTCAAATAAACAAATAAAAGCCCTTGGGTAAAAATTGGCCGGGGGGGGGGCTATATACAGGTGAGCGACCTCAGGGCCATCATGGCCCTCTTGTTCTTATTTGGTAGGAAGATAACTTGCATGGTCTTCTTTCTTAAGATTGATTTAGGGGACAGGTCAGGTCAAGGGTGCCAAAAATAAATTCTACACATTATTTTGCTTATACAGTCTTTATTCATTGACTAATGTTTTATACAATGTGGAAGGAACATACCTTGGATGGTCCACTGGTCAAGGTTACTTATGTATAAAAACTTTGAATATTTGCTAAATACACATATATGTCTATTATACTAAATTCATTACTGACTTTAAAGATTAAAACACACGTGTCATCAAATCTGACCTGGGTGACTGCATTTAATTCACCTACACTACCTAAGACAATTAATAGGCATTAACACTGTTACTTTTTTAACCTTTATATGTATGTTTGTTCAGCAATTTTTTTAGCTTAACATGTATTGTAATCATACATGTAATCATTGTGATTACTGATTAATTGGTCATGTAATTGATTAAATTATGATTAAATTACAGGAACAAAATTATGATTACTGATTACTTTGATTACTCAAAAAATAGTAATACTATTAAATTAAATTATTTTTTAAATTAAATTACCGATTACGATTATGATTACGATTACCCCATGTCTGGTAGACACAGATAAATACATGTATACAGTAGTATTTTTCTATGTCATTTGTTGCCTAAAATATGATAATGTATGTTTATACTTGTTAGCTCGACTTTTTTTTTTGAAAAAAAAGTAGAGGTATTGTTATAGTCAGGTTGGCGTTGCCGTTGCCGTCCGAAAACTTGTACCTGGATCATAACTTTTTTATTTCTTGGTGTATTGTCTTCATACTTGGCCACAACAACCCTTGGGACAAGACCTTTCAGTAGACCACACTTACCTTGACCTTCATCCATAAATGACCTTGACCTTCAAGGTTAAAAGTCCAATTTTTGCTTGTTCATGCTGTTATTGGCTGTAACTTTGTTATTTTTGAATGGATTGTCTTCAAACTTGAACATAATAATCTTCAAGGATATTTGACCTTCATCCATAAATGACCTTGACCTTCAAGGTTAAAAGTCCAATTTTTGCTTGTTCATGCTGTTATTGGCTGTAACTTTGTTATTTTTGAATGGATTGTCTTCAAACTTGAACATAATAATCTTCAAGGATATCCCTTAAAAATAACCAGTCAGACCTTGACCTTCACTCATCAATGACCTTGACTTTGAAGGTCAAATTATTGAAATTTTCATTTTTTGGCTATTATTGGCTGTACCTTTGTTATTTATGAATGGATTGTCTTCAAACTTGAACATAATAATCTTCAAAGATAACTGTTAAAAATATACCGAAAGACCTTGACCTTCACTCATTAATGACATTGTCTTTGAAGGTCAAATTATTGAAATTTTCATTGTTTTGGCGGTAACTGACTGTAACTTTGCTATTTTTGAAGGGATAAACTTCATATTATAACAAAACATTCTTAAGGACAAGACCTTGTTGTTTATCAAACCCAAATTTGCTTGGGCTCTTTAATGACCTTGACATTGAAGGTTATATTACTGAATTTTCTCAGATTTGTGCATTTATTGGTGTGTGTGTGTATGTATAGGATATGTATTTATATATATATATATATATATATATATATATATATATATATATATATATATATATATATATATATATATATATATATATATATATATATATATATATATAAATGTGTGTGTGTGTATATATATATACAAATTGCGTCATTTTTTCTATTTTTAGAAATTGCATCATTTTTTCTATTTTTATAAATTGCGTCATTTTTTTCTATTTTTTAGAAATTGCGACATTTTTTCTATTTTTAGAAATTGCGTCATTTTTTTCTATTTTTAGAAATTGCGTTTTTTTTTCTATTTTTAAATTGCCCAATTTTTTTCTGTTTTCAGAAATTGCGTCATTGTTGCTATTTTTATAAATTGCGTAATTTTTCTATTTTTAGAAATTGTGTCATTTTTCCTATTTTTAGAAATTGCGACATTTTTTTCTATTTGTAGAAATTGCGTCATTTTTTTTCTATTTTTATGAATTGCGTCATTTTTTTTCTATTTTTAGAAATTGCATCATTTTTTTTCTGTTTTTAGAAATTGCGTCACTTTTTTTTTATATTTTTATGAATTGCGTCATTTTTTTCTATTTTTAGAAATTGCGTCATTTTTTTTCTATTTTTATGAATTGCGTCATTTTTTTTTCTATTTTTAGAAATTGCATCATTTTTTTCTGTTTTTAGAAATTGCGTCATTGTTGCTATTTTTAGAAATTGCATCATTTTTTTTATTTTTAGAAATTGCGTGATTGTTGCTATTTTTAGAAATTGCGTAATTTTTCTATTTTTAGAAATTGCGTCATTTTTACTATTTTTAGAAATTGTGTCATTGTTGCTATTTTTAGAAATTGCGTAATTTTTTCTATTTTTAGAAATTGCTTAATTTTTTCTATTTTTAGAAATTGCGTCATTTTTTCTATTTTTAGAAATTGCCTCAATTTTTCTATTTTTAAAAATTGCATCATTGTTGCTATTTTTAGACATTGCGTCATTTTTTTATTTTTAGAAATTGCATCATTTTTTCTATTTTAAGCAATTGCGTCATGTTGCTATTTTAAGAAATTGCGTACTGTTGCAATTTTTAGAAATTATTCAAATATGCTTAATGTTTCTATTCATATATATATACAAAATATATAAACAAAACTAATGTGACAAGACAGACCAACTAAATTTATAAAAAGGAAACGTTAATATATGTTCAAACCTTTCTATGTTTGCGTTAAGAAAAAGTAAAAAGTCGAGCGTTGCCCCCGCCCAGCGGTGGCTCTTGTTTTATTTGATGTAATTTGTTACAGGGGTGCTTATTTTATCTATTGGAACATTTACAAAGACTTTTAATTTTGGAAACTAGCCAAACTGTTATGCTACTTTATATAATATCAGTTTAATCACTTTTCACCTAATGCAGATTTAAGTGAGTTTGGACTTAAATTTAAATGTTTTTTTGCCTAATTTATTATAATAAAAAATACTGTATATGTATAATAGAAAAAATGTATAATAAAAAAAAAATCTGGAAATGCAATGCTAAGAGCTAAGATAATGTGCATGTAGGATTGCCTAGTAGACCTCTTAAAGTATTGTATAAATCATACCCCTGTTGGGTAAATTGATCCTGCTTGTTGGTTATGTTATACTTCCGTAGGAAAATACTAAAACGTTTTCTTCATGGCCCTATTATTATTTTAGTTGATCTTTAATGATCTATTTTCAGTTTTGATACTTTTTAAAGATGTCTGGTAAAGACAAGAGGTCACCACCTGATACAGGTGGAAGATCACAGTTAGAGAACAGTACTAAAGGGGCAACATCTTCCAGTAGAAAGATGTTGCCCAGTGTTGTTGCAACATCTTCCAGAGAAGGAGTGTTGCCAAGTGATGGAAGGAGCTCTGATGTAGAAGAAACAGACAAGAAATTTGATGAGGCTGCATGTTCAGATGATCATCAAACAGCATCAAGCCGTGCTGATAATACAGACTCGAATTTAAAGGTTTGTGAATTGTAGTTATGTAAATATGTAAACATATTTACAAATTATAATAAAAGAATGATCAACTTTAAATATCTGCAGACTTGAAAGTGTTAAGTAAATACCCGCTTAAGTATTTATGCTTTTGCAAAAGTTAACTGGGTAGGTCTTTGACTATAAATATTATGACCAATAAAACAAGGGATTTACATTGATTACGCAACAGGATAAAAGAGCTTCCAATGTTTATCTTTTTCTGAAACAATATGACATTTTCCTTAGGTTTAACCCTTTGGCTGCCAGAGGGTTATTTATTTATTGATCACCTATTTGCCAGAAGGTTTTTTAAGAAATTACTATATTATTAATTATTATAATTACTATTATTTGTTATTAGTATTATAATTATTATATATGTTTCCAAATCTGCTAGTATATAATAATTATTGTAGATGGTATATTATACTCATCAGTGTTTGTTGGTTACCGTGAGACAAAGCTACTGCATGTAGTTTATATTATTTTTGTAACAACATAGATCACATTCACATAATAAGAAATGCATAATATAGAATATAATAGTTTCAAACATTGCTAACCTGTGATTCTTTGAGTTTCTATTGCCTGATCATAATTTTTTTATCTGCACTTATCAACTTCAATTCAAAGACCCAATGCCGACAACAAACTCAAGGCGGGGTTACATATCCCAACAAAAATTGATACGTCACACATTCAGTATCGGACGCTGTCATTGGGTAAGCAACTGCAATACTAACACTGATTGACAGGTTTATCAAAGGAGAATTGTCATACATAGATTTGCTGAAGTGTGTCGGAGTAACTAACAATACAATTATCTGTTAGACACGTGCTGTTTAATGGGGAAATATTACTTCAGGCATATATAGTTGTAAAAGTTGTTTAAGTCTATTGTTTAATAATGTTTATTGGTAAAAATGATGCTTTAATTTTTTTGTTGGTTGAATTTTTGAAAATCGGGGGATTTCGATCCCACGGCGGGAGATCGGGAGACATGGTCGAAAATCGGGGGTTTTTGTCCCCCGGCGGGGGATATGGCATGTATGGACTATAATTATCTATATATTTATTATTATTATTATAACTATTATTACTATAATTATTATTATTATAATTATTTTTATTATTATAGAAATGGCAAAAGCCGTCCATATGGCAAATGCGCCGAAAATAATAGGGACCGCATATGCCGTCTTTATGGCAGTGAAAGGGTAAAGTAACACATGTGACAAAAGTTATATTACATCAGTCCTTATAAGAATCATGGTCTTCATGTAAATACTAAATAATAACCCTGTCCTTAAGAACTTATCAGTTTTATCAGAACTTTGTGATTCTAAGTACTTGTTGATATATTCTTATATTTATATATGGAATTTTTTTGTAGGGAAAGAATAAGAAGGGGGAATTTATATCAGATAAGGTAAAAATATTTTCATCAGAGCAAACAACTGAAACACAACATCAACTTAAACCAAAAACACATTTGTGTAAAAAGGGTGAAAAGAAAAAGGAATTATCTGAACAAGGTAAAAATGAACCCAAAGTATGTCTGCCTAATTTAGAAGAGAAAGGGTCAAAGGAAAACTTAAAGATACATGGCAACAAAGATGTAGAAGGTTTAACTACATCTGCATCTGGTGGTGATCAGTCTGTGAAAGGGGACAACTTGAGCAAATCCTATGTTGTTTTAACTAAAGATGGCAAAGATGGTGAGTAGTGATATGGAGCTGCCTTAAAGTAGTTTTATTAGTGAAATTGTTAATACATGTATATAGATTCAATAATGTTTGACCTAATTATTTTTTTTTCTTATATAGAATATATAGTGAACAAATTTCTTCTGTGCACAAATTCTCCTACATTTCTCTAGGGATTTTGACGAAACTTTCACAGAAGCTTTGTCATAAAGTGCCTTGGGGCATATTGTCAGGGTTTCCAGATTTGATAGTGATTGACCTAATTATGGGCCTTTGTTTTTTCCCCTTAAATTGAATAGTGAACAATGTCTTTTGTGCGCACCTCCTACATTTCTCAAGGGATTATGACAAAACTTCTTCAGATGCTTTGTCATCAAGTGCCCTTGCCCATATTGATCGATAATTCTTTACCTTATTATGGTCCTTTCTTTTTTTTAGCTCACCTGACCACGAAGTGGTCAATGTGAGGTATAGTGATGGGGCTATGTCCGTGGTCCGTGGTTGTGTGTTGTGTGTCATCAACAATTGGGTTGTTAACACTCTAGCAGTCACAGTTTTGATTGGATCATCATCAAACTTTGTTAGATTGTTTGTCTCAATGAAATACAGGTCAAGTCTGAAGATGGGCCAGGAAGGTTGTTTTGATGATTTCTAGATCAAGTTTGAAGATGGATCATCTGGGATCAAAAACTAGGTCAAAGGAGCTAAAAAAAATTAGAAAAATCTTGTTGACACTCTAGTGGTTGCAGTTTTGATCCAAATATTCTGGAAAGGGCTAGGTACGTTTTGGGTCGATTTTGGCCCAAAAAGTTTGAGGAAATTAGATATTGAATATAAATCAATCATTTAATGTCAATTGACAAAGTAACATAATGCAAGTAAAAACTGACGTTCCTTTGTATCGCGGCAACGTTGATGACGTCATCTACTATATTGCGGTTACTGCTTGCGCACTTCTGTTAAATACCCAAAGTTTACACTCCGTCAGTCTGCTGTTTACATACTGGCAAATGACGGATTGGTAAGGGTCGTAATCAAGTATATATTGGTAGTAGGAGAGGTTTCAGTTCTTTAACCTTTTACCCCATTAGCATATTGCGAAAAATGACCATTGTCACTGAAAAGCCTCCTGTAACAAGTTCAAACTGCAATGAAAGTATGAAAAATGCGTCAATACTAATGAAACTTGGCACAAATGTTGACTACACCATAGCCTCTGTAACAGCATGCTCAATGGTAAATTTCCTGTTACCATGGCAACAGGGGGACGTCTCAAAATTGCCAAAAATCACTATTTTGCATTGTTGTTTCCATAAAAACTGATTTCAAAGTGCTGCAACTTCTCAATGAATTGAGATAGAGTAAGAGGCTTTTCAGCGTTGGTTACTAGCTATCCTAAGATCGATCTGAGGCCATTTTTAGCCTGTCACATGTCCAAAATTTTCTTGGCAACGAGGGGGACTCCGCCCCCCCTTCAAACCCCCCAAACAGAAGGGGGCACATCCCCCTTCTGGCAACCCCCTGATATAATATTTGGATGGGGGACGGCGCCGAAAAAGTGGTTACTTTTTGTGTCGCCTTGAAAAGGTGACATATAGGGGTTACTTTTGTCGGCGGCGTCTGTGTCGGCGTCGTTGTCGGCGTCGTTGTCAGCGTCGTCGTCGGCGTCCCCTAAAGCTTGTCCGGAGCATAAGTCAGTCACTATAAGTCTGATTGACTTCAAACTTGGTATGCATGCTTCTTTCAATAACCCGAAGTGCAGTGCACAAGGACCGGTACTCTGCAGTTCTTATTTTTTGAGTTATTGCCCTTTGTTAATTTTCATACTTTAATTTTGTCCGGGCCATTTCTCTTCAACTAAAAAAGCTATGCACTGGAAACTTCATAGGATGATAGATCTCATTAAGAAGAAGTGCAGTGCACAAGGATCGGTACTCTGCACTTCCTAATTTTTGAGTTATTGCCCTTTGTTAATTTTCATACATTATTTTTGTCCGGGCCATTTCTCCTTATGTATAAAAGCCATGGACTTGAAACTTCATAAGATGATAGGTCTCATCAAGAAGAAGTGCAGTGCACAAGAACAGACACTCTGCATTTCTTATTTTTTGAGTTATTGCCCTTTGTACATTTTCATACTTTAATTTTGTCCGGGCCATTTCTCCTTAAGTATAAAAGCTATGGACTTGAAACTTCAGAGGATGATAGATCTTATTAAGAAGAAGTGCAGTGCACAAGAATCGGTACTCTGCATTTCTTAATTTTGAGTTATGGCCCTTTGTTAATTTTCATTCTTAATTTTTGTCCAGGCCATTTCTCCGAAAGTATAAAAGTTATGGACTTGAAACTTCATAGGATGATAGATCTCATTAAGAAAAAGTGCAGTGCATAAGAACTGATACTCTGCATATCTTATTTTTTGAGTTATTGCCCTTTGTTGATTTTCTTACTTTATTTTTGTCCTGGTCAATTCTCCTCAAGTATGAAAGCTATGGACTTGAAACATCATAGAATGATAGATCTTATTGATAAGAAGTGCAGTGCACAGAAACTGCTGCTCTGCACTTATTATTTTTTTAGTTATTGCCCTTTGTTATTATTCATATTTCATTTTTGTCCTGGCCATTTTTCCTAAACTACATTGTTCACAAGGCGACACATCCGACTCGCGGAGTTCTAGTTTGAACAACATTTCTCAAACGAAAAACAGTGTTTGGGGCCTAAATAGGGCTTTTTTTCACTGTTTGAGGCCTCAAAAAAAGGGGGGCAAAAAGCCGTCGAAACACGCTTATATAAGGGAAAAGGTTAATTAGTAAAGAGATAAATGTGACCGTACATTTTAATAAACTAAAGTTTTTCTCTTTAATGAACATTTCCAATAATATGCAATAATAGAGTTAAGTACCCATATTTCGACACCTTACGATAAATTTTCGTTACAATTTAACATTTTTACGTATATCCTAATTTCGACACCGCACTTTACAGTTAAATATTTTCACTGTTAATTAAAAGCGATTTTTTTCACATTTCTTTTGGAGACCAATTATAACATTTAAGTTTTATAAAACCTGGCAAAACAAATATTATTAAAATGCATAAATAACCAAATCACAGGCCCTCGACAAATCTGGCAGTATGGCAGTAACTCTCCGATCTTAGATCTATTGTTTAATCACAAAATCTTTTGACATATCATTGATAATGTTTATATCTTATAAAAAAGCAAAATTATTCTTTAAAAATTCATTAGTAAAAAAATTACAGGCGGATTCCAGTAAAGTCCCTGCGGATTCCGGTAATTCGGGCAATTCCGGTAGGTCAAGTAACCGAGGCATACATCTTACAGATTATGTGAAAGATCAATATCATATAATAATAATGAGGATGATGATGTAATAAAAAAAATGATGATGATGATAATCAAACACGTGCATACATATATGTTCTGAACTTTACTAAATAGGTTATTACATAAGACCACTGAATGACAAAATATTGTCATAGCGGTAATATTACGAATATTTGCCTCTTCCTACATAGATTTCGGTGGTTAGCCCTCTTAAACTGAAGAAGGTTCAGTGCAGAAAATTTAGCTATGATGCCTATGAACTTGTTAAAGTATAATTGCATATTTTATAAAATAGCAGTAACTGAATACACTTCTTAAATAGGGTAAGTAAAGTATAATAAATAAAAGCTATTGTACATGTCTTCATTTTCGTCTGTTATAATATACTTCACAGAGACTATTTATTTATGTCTGTTATTGTAATTGAACGGTAGAAATGTACATTCAATGTATCATCAACTCCTTTGCATTACACGATAAACAAATTTGAAAATACATATGCGTCATTATATTTTTAATTACTCGAAACGATGCGCTCAAAATAATACGTGACGTTGATGACGTCAACTGTAGTATTTTGCTTTCTTGATAGGTTGTTTTGATTTATTATAACTTTTTAGCTCACCTGTCACAAAGTGACAGGGTGAGCTTTTGTGATCGCTTTTCGTCCGGCGTCCGTCCGTCGTCCGTCCATCTTCTGTAAACTTTTGCTTTAAATGACATCTCCTCATAAACCACTGAGCCAATTTCATCCAAACTTCACAGGAATGTTCCTTTGGTGGTCACCTTTAAAAATTGTTCAAAGAATTTAATTCCATGCAGAACTCTGGTTGCCATGGCAACCAAAAGAAAAATCTTTAAATATCTTCTTTTAAAAAACCATAAGAGCTAGATCTTAGATATTTGGCATGAAACATCTTCTAGTGAGTGTCTACCAAGTTTGTTCAAATAAAAGCCCTGGGGTCAAAATTGGCCCCGCCCAAGGGGGGCATTGATTTTCCCTATATGCATATGGTAAAAACTTAAAAAATCTTCTTTTAAAGAACCCAAAGAGCTAGAGCTAAGATATTGGACATGAAACATCTTCTAGTGAGTGTCTACCAATTTTGTTCAAATAAAAGCCCTGGGGTCAAAATTGGCCCTGCCTCTGGGGGTCATTGATTTTCCCTATATGCATATAGTAAAAACTTAAAAAATCTTCTTTTAAAGAACCGTAAGAGCTAGAGGCTTAGATATTTGTCTTGAAACATCTTCTAGTGAATGTCTACCAAGTTTGTTCAAATAAAAGCCCTGGGGTCAAAATTGGCCCCGCCCCGGGGGTCATTGATTTTCCCTATATGCATATAGTAAAAACTTAAAAAATCTTTTTTTAAAGAACCCAAAGAGCTAGAGCTAAGATATTAAGCATGAAACATCTTCTAGTGAGTGTCTACCAAGTTTGTTCAAATAAAAGCCCTGGGGTCAAAACTGGCCCCGCCCGGGGGGGGTCATTGATTTTCCTTATACATTGTTTATCCGATATTATTGGATAATACACGTCACGCGTATACTTAACTTCATTTGCATACGCTAAAACGGTATGGGAAAAGAGTTTTTCACACGTTTATTGTTGTGTTTTGATTGTTGACACTTGTGACATAACGAGGTGGCCTTCGCTTAA